CAAAAAAAAATCTGCACCACCAAACAACATACATGTCTTGTAAATTAAACTAAAGAATTGACAAATTTTAGGTTCTGATCAGATAACTACAATCAAAAGTAACAGGCGAGACCTGGGAGCTATGGGCCGCTGGGAGGCATGGGCCATCGCCGTGCTGAAGAAGTTTTGCGTATTTTGCCCTATTTGACCACATAAACTGGTAGGAGCCAATGTGGTATATAACCCGCGCGATTCCCAGAATCCTCCTCAGTCCCCTTTGACAGTGAGCACTTGAGCAGTGATAGTGCGTTTTTGCCCTTTTCGGTAAGTAAAATTCGGTGGGTACAGAAAACATGTGATTTATGTCAGTCAGGTTCGCTTTGTTAGGTCACACCATCGCTAACATAAAGTTAAAGCATGCGAATTTAGACCGGGGAGACAATTTAAAGTTTTCTTTCAAGATTTTGAGCTGAGATGCTGCGCAAATTTTGGCGTCCTTACCGGGAGGTTCGGGCCGGCAATGCCTCCCCGTTCAACTGCCATGTGACAAAGCATATCATACGAAGCTCTAAACAATTTTCATGCCAGCAGCTTTATTCACCTCTGTATGACACCGATTCACAGGATATTCATTAATGCTTAGCAATACCCAAAGCTGCTGCTGGTAGTGGTACGATCTACCATTTTCATACGGCACTTTCTTCATCAACTTTCATCAACAAGTGTAAACTAAGGCAACATGGGGCCTCCTGCTCAACATCAGAGGTAGTGTAAAAGTACAGTACCATAGGCAAAGGGTGGAAGAGATAACAGGCAATAGTAAATAAAATATTTTAGGTTAAGTAGTTGTGTATCTGGCTTCAGGCTCCACCTGTAATCTACTCCTGGGAGTAACTTTTTCCTAAATCTTTCTTGGTAGGTAGGCACAAAGCGATATGTTCAGTTAGGCTAGATTACTTTTATTTTCATTTTTAATATCATTTCTCCACTAGCTTAAATCTTATTCCAACCTATTTACAACTTTTATCTTATTGAATTCTGGAGTGTTTGGCATTAGTAGAGCAGACATCACACAAAGGCTTTCCAACCAAGGTGAGGCACTGTAGGCTTGTAGGTTAGGTTGTAGGTTTGTAGGTTAGGTTGTAGGTTTGCAGGTTAGGTTGTAGGTAGTACAAGTAGGTTGTAGGTTAGGTTAAGTTCATTTAGCTTTGGTTAGAACAAAGCAACTCTGGGTATAGCGCCTCTCCTTGGTTGGAAAACCAATAAATGTCAAGATAAAGTCCTAAGAGGATTTCAAGGATAATTTTTGTATATTCTTACATTATTTGACACCCTCATTCCAAAAAAAAATATACTTACATGTCTTGCAAATAAAAAAGAAACAATTCAGCCTGCCCTAACCTCATCTACTTACCTACTTACCTACTTACTTACTAATCACTTAGCATGTGTTTTGATCACTTGAAATGTATGGTTTATAGAAATTTGCGTAAAAGCTGTGAGTGAAAATATGTTCTCAAAGTATAAATGCACATGCATCAACAGCAGTTGCACTTTGAATCCCTTCTTTCCCAGCTTCATCACACTAAAATATTAAGTGTTTTTAACATAACATTTTTGCTGCTCTTTACACACATCACGCATAATCATTGAAATGGCGTCATTAGTGTAATCATGGGACGACAGTGAAAACAAATCGCCTGGGGCGATTTGATCAAGGAAATTCACTCAAATAAACCATTTGACATCCAGTATGTAGAAGGCATTGAGAGGGGGAGAAGTTCTTAATAGTCATTTGACTTAATATGACCTCCAGCGCCCTGTTTTCACCAGCGTCCTTAAAGTGCTTTTCGGAATGCGAACTGTTCATACCCACTTCATACAATTGTTTCATCAAAAATAGTCGTCAATGTCATCATTTTCGTGTCAGTTCCCATGTTATTTAGCATGGAGAAGTAGATTCTTACTTAGAAAATGCGTGTTTTGATAGGCAAACGAATTAAGTACACTTTAGTAAACTACGCACCTCAAGCTTCGACCTTGAGCCAAAATACCACACATTCTTCGAATTGCCACAAAATGCAAACAACTTACCAACGCTCTGGAGGTTCTGGACTGACATGCGACTATTGCTGTGAACTCTTTTCAATAATATCTCGCGCTACTTGATAAAAACAATTGTAACTATATACGAGTGCTTCGCACGAGACGCCACAAAGAAATGTTCGAGAATGTTTATCGACAATTATGACGCAGGCGGATGTTACAGTGCCATTCAAGAGCTAAAGTATAATTTGATGTTGAAATTATGCCTATTTTGTTCAATTCAAATATCATTGCAATTATTTATTAAGATTCATTAAAACTAAACATATTGATTTTAAATAAAAAAGCTTTAAAAATAAAAAAATGTAAGGCAATCTAAAAGAACAGTACTATGACGTCACATACCTATCATGACGTAATTAGTTGCGTCATCATATTCAGAGAATATGACGCATTAGATATAGACGGGAATTGGACGGGAACGGCCAGTGATATAATTTCACATGAACTTATTTGACAGCTCATTGAAGAGAGGCGGTTGACACGTATTAGGTACCTACGAATACCCGCCACGACCTCTACCGGTTGACCTGACCTGACCTGACCCGACCTGGTCTAAATGCTTAAAGACATCATCTCTGATCAAAACTAACACGGTATTCGTGATCAGCACCCCGGAAAACTTCTTGATAGCCACACTTAACGACTTTCTAACAGCCACAGGGCCCGATTTTCCCGATTTTCGGGTCATTGACCTGACCTGGAAGGTCACCCGATGACCTAGGACCTTAAAATTGGATATCATCGGCTTCCTCTCGTGACGGGCAGCACGCTCGTTGTAGCCGTAAGCGGTAGGTTTTTCCCTTTTACACATCTTTTACATTTCCGGTTATAGGTAGGTAGGTTTCTCAGAAGCTAATCGATCTACGATGAAGCCATTTTATACGGTCATGGCAGGCTTGTGAACGAACAAGTCTATCGCATCTAACATCTTCAACACTCCATTCAAAAGCTTAAGACGACGAAGACATGAGCCTGGAGGAGGTATACTAAATTCATAGGTACAAAACCTGCCGCTAAAACCCGTGGGACCTGTGCCTACCAAGCATGCCGGAACATATCTTTTTTTTCTCTTTTTTTTCTGACCAGTGACCACTTTGACTTTGAGCCTTGAGGGTACAATTTCATGTGACCACAAATAAAACAGCTAGGTAAATACCCAGGGGTAGAAAGAGGGTTTTATAAGGTCAAAAAATGGCAATGGATTATGGATACACTGGAGTGGATACCTTTAGGTATCTATCGTACATATATCCTATAGGCTATAGGTACCCGACTCGAGAGCGGAAGAAGGCAAAAAGCCATTTAAGACCGATAGAAAGCCCTCTTGAAGACCCTCATTCGGTATCAGCTGAGACTAAACCAGGGCACTCTGAAATCTAAAACCAAGGCAATGAGATCAACAAGGCCCTTATTGATTCGAGTATTCAGAGAGGAACTTCATGACACCATAGGACGGGCGGCAGGACCATGATGCCAGTAAAGGGACCCTTCGATCCGAGGGGAGGGCCCACTGGGTAGGTACTGAGACCGACAGAGGGCCCTGAGGCCAATATAGAGGACTCTCTGAGGCCATCCGAGGGCCATTGTAATCTAACAGAGGAGCGAGAGCCTTTTATGCTACAGACGGCCAAAGTGTCGGACAGACGGCTGTCTGAGCTCTGACGTCAGCCCGGGGCTATGAGGGCAACAGAAAACCCTCCGGTCATAGGGTCCCCTGACATTATCCCACCCCACCTTCCACTTATTCCAATAGATTATGCTCCTGCTCCCGCATTTACCGTTTCCACTTGCCATCTAGCTATCGCGCATATCCGTTCATAGCCCATGCATCACACTCGTGCCTTATCCCCTCTCCCCGACCTCGGGACAAATCCATACGATACTTCCTAGTTCCTCACACTTTGGCAAGTTAGTTTGAGCTGACAGTCAGCCACCCAGGCAGCCGGTGCAGTAATGATGTATTGATTGTATGTATTGTTATATATTTTGGGCCTCGTTAATCGTTTTATTATATAAAAATACATCTTACTGCCATGTTATCGGTCAATTTCATCGCCATATTTAAGGTGCAATGATGAGGTTAACTTTACCTGCTGATCGTTTGACTGGCGGGTCGGGTTGTCTTATCGGGACGGTCTACCGATAGTCCGTATACCAATCAATGGTCCACTGGTAACGTAACGGTCGATGGCTCACTCATACTAATGTCTCTGGCGCTGCTCTGTCCTACCATAGCTACACCTAATTTGACGGCATTGATGCATGCATGAGCGGTGGATCCATTCCATTGACCTAATGGCCTATGCCCGTCCACACATTAATTACATGAGTGAAAGTGGATTTATAGCGATAGTAGACAACAGGGACGAAATAAGCTTACACGAAAAACGTGACATCCGATGCTTTAGACGCCACGCTCGATTGGGAAAAAAAATGCGCAGTGCGCTCATTTAGACGGTACGTGATGGGGCCTGAAGCATTTAGATAGATTTGAATGCCTAAAAGACAAATGAGGTAAAGACTTCAATCAGTCGGAGGAAAGCGAGCAGGTATCATCGCGCCGGCAGTATGATTTCAGTTCTTCCCTTGCAACACTTAGGTATCGTATACCTACGTTCTAATGTTAGTTTGAGATGGGCTTCGGATATCGTAAAAGCCACCGTTTTGAAAAACAATAACTCATTTCAATGCATTCTGCACCACTGTTTACTTTATTTTCCGTTTCTTTGGTTGGTAGGTACCTACTAGCTGAAGAAGGGACTCAAAAGAAGAGAGGGAAAGAGTCCGAGAAGCGGCCATGAGTCTGCGCGTCAAATATTTTACGACATTCTTTTATTGAACTCGGTAGAGCATTAGACGTTTCACTCTCATATGGACAATACAGCACGAACAATCCACATACCTACAACGACACACCACCAGCAGCGGCCTCTGGCCCTGACGTTTGCCGCAGCATGGGTCAACACTTCTATCAGACACTCATCGTTCCATCTTTACTATCGTCGCCGCCGCCGCCTCGGCCGCCGCCCCCGCCCCCGCCCCCGCCCTCGACCCTGATGAGAACAGCGGCTCCGGCTTGATCAAATTCTCGATGGTGAAGAGCGAGGACTTGCTGGGCTGCGGGCTGAGCTGAGCCGCCCCCTGCTGCGGCTCCTCACCGGCTCCTGCCCCGGTCTCGGCTCCCGGCGGAGCCGTGGTGGAGCTCTCCGGCTCCGCGTCTGCCGGCCGAGCCAGGCAGCGCATCCGCCTCTTCCGCCTGCGGAAGTTGCCGTTCTCGAACATGTCGGCAAACTTGGGGTCGAGAGTCCAGAACGAGCCCTTCCCGGGTCGACCCTTCTGACGAGGTAACTTACGGAAGCAGTCGTTGAGGCTCAGGTTGTGCCGAATCGAGTTCTGCCAGCCCTGGGGACAAAAAAGAACAAGGCACGGCTTGTGTCAGTAAGGTTGGAATATGGAAAGTTTGGTGAGTCAGCGAGTGCCATTCGTCACTTACAATAAAAGCTGACATTTGTTAGCTGAATTAAAGGGACCCTCCCACCTTAACATTAGTTTTGAGTTGAGATAGCCAAATTGGTGGCCATGGCCTGCAAATACCGGTTTGGGCACTCACAACATCGAAAAATGCTTTAATTCGGAGAAATGGAATTTCAAACTTGCAGTTTTCGGATTCTAAGGGGCTAATGCATTGAGATGCCCCTTAGAATTTGTGACGTCAGCGGTAATCTAACGATTTTAAAACCTTATACTAACATCTTTGTAAAGCAGTGGTGGTATATGCTATTTGCGCGCAACATCTGCCGCGAACGCCGCACTTCTAAAATGAAGTCGCTAGGAACAGCGGAGATCCCAAAAAAGTAAACAAAAGTAAAAGTCTAATATCTTGAAAACGGGTGAATATTTTTCGGTGAAATTTGGTAGATATTCGTTTTTGCTCTTTCTGAATCGAGCGACATCACTTTCATGCCAATTCATTAACTTTTTTGAAGGTGGGAGGGTCCCTTTAATGGTAGGCATAAGGCATTTAAATGAATAAAAGTTTGTTGCTCTTATTTCTTAGCAAAATCGATGACGAATACCTAGGTGTTATGGCCAACAAACACCAATCCAAATAAAAGCGTAGGTAACTGAGCATTTTATGTGCAGAACGCGCGTCTCGCATATTACGTCGCTAATCATGTTCGTACGTTGTAGGCGCAACATGATGCTCGTAGAACTTCATTTTGGTAAAAAAGTAGCTCCGCAAATAACATTTCAGCCATATCGGCTGACCGTGTTTCGCCGTGGCCGATGGCTACTGTTTGCACTCCGGCTCACTAGGTGCCAGTAGTAATGGACGCCTGAATTTATGCTGTACCGCATAGCATAAAACATCGCAGTCATCGAGTAAGTACTATTTAGACTCGCGGTCACCAGATGGCATTAGTAACAGACGCCTGAATTTATGCTGTGCCGCACAGCATGAAACGTATTCTCGGCCATTGAGCACTGTTTGCACTCCCGCTCACTAGATGGCACTAGTAATGAACGCCTGAATCTATGCTGTGCCGCATAGCATGAAGCGCATTCTCAGTCGGCGGGAAGGACGTTGGAGCTCGCTAGGGCTCGTTATGATGTAAAATGTGAGGACCACTGATGTCTGCAGGGTGCAAGGGACAATATCCGCCAAATTGTCTCGAATAGAAATGGACACCCAGTACTAATTGTATAAAATAAATGAACAATTCGGAATAAGCGGGCTCCCATCTTTCAGCCCTTCCTAGTGACTTCAAAACATCAGAGCCAAGATCAAACCGATGTGTGATTGCCTACCAATAATTCAAGGTATGTACCTACCTATTGAGTTGAGCATTGGATTGATTTATTTGGTATTATTCTGGTAGGGTAAGGGCGGGTAAGAGTACGCGGGCGATAAGAGTACGCATCAGCTGTTTTGGTTGCTTAGCAACGCGGGCTTGTCGAGTTCATGAAGTGACATGAAGCCGCCAGTGCGTGCTTGTCACCAACGGAACGTGGGCGTTGAGCGGCGACGCTGTTGAGTTTAAGGCGATGAATATTATTTTCGAGCGTTATGATATTATTATGGTATGGTACAATAAATTTGATACTTGGCAGTTGAGATAAGGTACATTTCCGTGATTGTTGTGGGAAACTTGTGAGGTTATCTGGGGAAATACTGTGCAGTGCAATATTATGTTTCCGGAGTTTTGCACAACGTTTCGGGGTTGTTTTGTGCGCGAATTGCATGTACGGTAAGAGGACGCACTGTTCAGGAGGGTAAGAGTACGCAGAATTATACATTAAATCGAATATACAGAAATATAAAATTATTAATACCTATATCGCTCAATGACGTTTGTTTTGTAGGTATATCATCAATGGAGCATTGTGATGCAGATGCGTACCCGAAATTCTTCCAAATACGAATTATTCTCCCTTTTGATTGTGCATTTTTTTAAAGAAACACACGACATGATTATTTCCTGATTTATAGACTTGAAATATTTATTTTAAGCTTTTCTTTTTGGATACTAGAATTAACTTAAATGCCTTCTGAGTTTGAAGTTAAGCATTTGGACAGTACAAGCTGCATAGGGGTGTGTTCATATGCTTGCGTACTCCACCCGCCTGGCGTGCGTACTCTTACACACCCCATATGGTAAGAGTACGCAACTGCAGCGGTTCAGAAAATGTCAGTTTTAGACCAATTCCATTTACGCTGAAGGATCGTTGCCCCATGGGTTGATCGCTAATTTAATGAACTTTAATATTCCCTATTTGCGATTTCTTTCTTTCAAATATTAAACAAATGAGAGCAAGAAATCCACTAAGTGCGTACCTACTCTTATACGACTTCACCCTACTTCACAGTCGCAACAGAGTCAATTTATTAATCACGGTCACGGCCGCTAGGTATATACATGACTATAGCAGGCAGTAATCGCCACGCCATGTGTGGATCGCCCATGATCGTAAATACAAATACATACATACAAAAATGCTCCAATGCCCGAATGCATGAATGCAAGAATGAATTGATGAATGAATGAATTAATTAATTAATTATTTAATTGTTTAATTAATGAATTAATGAATTAATGAATTAATGAATTAATCAATTAATGAATTAATGAATTAATGAATTAATGAATTAATGAATTAATGAATTAATGAATTGATGAATGAATGAATGAATGAATGAATTAATTAAGTAAGTAAGTAATCAATCAATCAATGAATGAATGAATGAATGAATGAATGAATGAATGAATCAATCAATCAATGTATCAAATGATTCAATAAATCAAAAGGTTTGGACTAAATTTATGAAAAAATAAATGAATTGATAAATAAATCACACAATAAATCGGTACCTTTATGCTGCACAGGGCAGTCGACCGTTGTTGGTTGTACCCACCTGTTTATTCTGCTGGTAGTACGGAAAGTGCTCCATGATGTACTTGTAGATCCCACTGAGCGTCATCTTCTGCTCCGGCACCGACTTGATGGCCATGGCGATGAGGGCAATGTAGCTGTACGGCGGTTTCTGCGGCGGCGGCGGCGGTAGCGGGCACCCGGCCAGGGGCAGGTAGTAGAAGGGCAGGTAGGGCGAGACGCAGCCCGCGCGCACACACACCGTACCCAGGCTGGACAGGTAGCTCTCGTAGCTCTCCATGCTGTGGATTCCTGGAGATGAGACGGGGAGGGGAAGAGTGAGTTGGGCGAGAGAGACGTTCACGATTTGCTTGACTGTAAGAAAAGTTTCTTAGATGCATTAGTCCATAATTAATTTCGTGCTTGAAAAGCTAATACAAACGTTTTTATAGGCTATATGTTTGCAATTAAATAAAAAAAAGTTGAATGGACCGTAGACGATGTCCCACCTCTTTCGATGCAATAAATCACTGGTTGCCGGCTTCAAGTTTCCCTCTCAACTAGTCCGGTACCGTGCTCTCGACTGCACGGTTCGCCGGTCCTCGGAGAGTCTGGGAGTGTGCTGCTGATCGTCTGAGCTCAGAGGCGATCCCGGTGTCGGAGGAGACAGTCCTCGTCGAGAGACGGCCTCGGGACGCTGCTCTGTCTCGCTCGGTCCCCGGCAGACTGACGACGCCCCCGCCCATCAATCGCTCCTCTTCTCCGCGCACGAGCGCTGTTTGTTTGGACGCCTTCTGTTTGTGTTTTCTAGTTGGCCAGGTTTAGGTAACAATTTGTTCTGTAAAAACTCAATGTTTGCGCACGACGCAATGTTATTGAGGTCTGGTCAGGAGTTGTTTTTGAGCGCGCCGCGCGCAGCGGTGCCATTGTTTTGGCAGGGTATCAGAACAAGCACCTCGGACACACAAACGAGCCTGTCCGCACGCACACGGCGGCCGCCCAGGTGGCACCAATTAGCTGCGGCCATCAGCGGCACACACTAATGGCAGCCGCCGGCCGCGAATACCGGCCAATCAGCGGCCAGCAGCCGACGGCAGTCGACCAATCACAGGCCGAGCTGGGGGGCTCAGCCAGTGGCTGTCAGCTCTCCGATGGCAGCCGTTCCGTCCGTGTGTGTGCGAGAGCAGGATTGTCGGCATAGCTCTGGGGCTAGTAGGGCGAGGGCGACACTGATCCATGTATATTAAATGCATACACGGATTGGACTTTCATTAAGGTCAACAGCCGATCGAAACTTTTCGCAATTGTTAGGCACTTACGTGAACGTCTTTTTATGAAATCTTATGAAAGTGGGGCTCACGTCTTCAAGGGTCAAAAAGAGAGCTTAATAACCATTCACACTGCTCTCATCTATCCAGATTTAAAAAATATGTTTATTGGTTTAAAAAATCGAAGTTGGATGGACTCGTGTCCGTTTCGCGCCTTTCTCTATTTTTATTTCTGCCCTGAAACACGTAGGTAACATGCTGCTCACATATCCGAAATGCTGCTCCGATCATCCAAAAGGTTGGTTTGACATTTTTAACTTCATATCTTTATTCATCGTCCTAAAATAAACGATATCGAAGCAAACAATAAAAAGAAACACTGGAAGACTGAAATGCAGTTTACGTTATCCGTATTGCCTGCCTTCTATTAAACGAAGTGCTACTGGCTGAGCCGGTGCAATTCTACGGTAGCCGAAGCCCAAAAGCCCAAAACCCAAAAGCCATATATTAGGTACTACGAGGAAAGACATCTCTTCAAAACGTCCTTAGCTGAATCTGAAAGGCTAGGTATTGTTCTTCCAAACGCCAGCACTATGCGATATCACTCGAGTCGGAATGGTGGCGTGGTATATAGGGCCTTGGGTGGCGTCAACGGTTCACGGTATTGTAAAAGACTGGCAGGTGGCGTCTCTGGAACACATGCCCTGCTACCCTGAAATACGCTAACGCTTTACATATCACTTCACCCGGGAGCCCGCACTTATGTTACAAGAGTCCTTTGCACCAACGCATTTTTGCAAGCAACGAAAGAAATTTATCGGATATGATTGAATCGCAAACGGATGTGCCTTTCGGCTTACCTCCAATGATAAAAGTAAGCAATGTGATTAAGATTCATATTTAACTGAATGATTTGGTTAAAATATATTGCCGGACACCTACGCGATCACGCATGGATTATTGAACTGTGTGCAAGACGGCAAAGACTGATAAACATAGTCTTTGACGCTGGTATTTCATTTGAGCTAAAGTGGAGGCATGAGTGTAAAAGAAGTAGAACAGATAAAATGGTAGATACCGGTATAGCTTTGGCTCAGCTCAGCGTACGAGTATTTACTTTTGGGTTGTTTAAGCGAATCGCTGCTCTCCCCAAACTCTACCCAAACCACTGCAGCGGCTCCCTGAACACCGAGCCAACACAGGACCCGTCAACAGGTGTACCCTCACCATCCTGTCACCCCCCTCCCCTCCCGCTTCCGGCCGGGTTAAATACCCATCAGAGCGGGTCGGGGCCCGGGTCTCACTCCGCTAATTCCCCCTGCGGCTCCGCAAACAGTGGTTTCCGCTGGGGCCGGACAGTAGCGGCAGTTGTCATTAGCCTGCACCAACAGTGCGCTGTGAAAGCACACATAAACAGTGGAGGGTGACAGACGTCAGGCGTCAGACGACATGGACGGCAGACAGACATACAAACACGGGTGCGGCGGATCGGAACATCTCTCTGAGTCTCTCAGCTCTCGGGCTTGGATTCAGGCAGGCAGGCATAGCATTCATTGCAGCTGTCTCGCGGCTGAGGAACCTAACAAGTTCTGCCCCTGTGTAAGTAAGTTATTCTGAGAGGAAGCAGTTTCTTGATTAGAAGTTCTTCCTTTCGTGGATTACGTATCCCGCTTGACCTGACTGCTTGGCCATCGATCATTTGCATTGTCGATTTATTCTGTCGTCAAAACAAGCGTTAAACGGTATGGTGAAATGATGCAAACTGAACATTGCAAATTGTAAAAGAAGATTTTGAGGTGCTACTTATTTGATGCAGTATACAAGCGATCTCTAACGCTTTTGCTTTGTTGAATCATCAATAAAAATTGAATTAAGTGAAGGCTTATCAACGCTATCCGTGGATGTCTTTCAGTTTATTTGCATAATCGTCTATCCATTTATTTCCTATACCGCAACCGTCTTCCAGGATACATTCTTCCCGGCGTAGGTACCCGTCTACCAGTGCCTCTATCTGTCTATGCGTTTATCCGTCTAACCAGTATCCATCTACCCCTCTAGCAGTAGATGTATCTGTCTGTCTCCCGTTCCCCGTCTACCCGTCTCCCCGTCTCTTCATCGCCGGCCTTATTTCGCTCTGTCTCCCCGTCTCCCCTATTCCACTTATCCATCTAATATCTATCCATCTATTCGTCTATCTCTCTAAACGATTATCCATCTATTTAATATCCATTTACTCCAGAGCGATCCGGTAATCTGTCCGTCCGTTTCCCGTCTGCCTGTTCGCTCCGTCTCCCGTCTACCCGTCTTCCCGTCTTCCCGCCGCCGGCCCCATCTCGCGGTCAGATGAAGGTGCCGGGGACGTTTATTATCCCAGCCGACGAGAGAATGGCGCGCATGTTTCAAAAAGCGACGCCCGGCGCGCGCCGTGACGTCATCGTTAACGAGCGGGCGCCGCGAACGGAATGAGACACAGCGGCGGCATTGACGGCGCGCCGGCAAAGTTTGGACTCCTAACGAGACGGCGGCGCGGCCGTTTGTTTTCGTTCGCCGAGCGGTGGCCGGCGCGCTTTGGGCGTCGACAGTAACGACGCACGCGGCGAAACAAACCGGCCCGAGAACAGTGGACGCCAGCAGGCGCTGTTTGGGAGCCGCGTGCCGCCGACACCGCCCGCTGAGAGGCGCGCTTTTGTAGGCCGGCCGGGCGGCCCCGTGCGCCGCGCGCCGACGGAGACTTTGGTGGCGACGCTCCTACCTGAGGGCGAGGCTCTGTGTGGAGGGGAGGAGTCGACCTAGATGTCAGTTTCACGCTAGATTTAGCAGAATTAGTGGGGTAGGTGCCTACAGTTGCCTACAGGTCTGAAGGAAGTGATGGACCTTAACCCGCGCACCGACGGGGGGCGGATATCCGCCCCCCCCCTGAGGTTTTTCGCGGATAGCGGGAAAACCGCGGCGCGTAGCGCCGCGAAATTTGGTATGACTATTCTCTCATCAATTTTACACATGGTGTGCAAGTTTGAACCTCCTAACTTTTAAGGTCAGGTCACCAGGTCACTTTGAATGACCCAACCTCAAGTCACTTTTTTGCAACTTTGTCACCGTGCCAGAGCTACAGTAGATGTCGGAGGCCTTTGAAAGTCGCAGGATGTTATTAGGTCATTAGTAGCTACAATTTGTATATCTCGGAATTTTGATGTCGGTGACCTAAGGTCAGGTCAATTTCGCGACCTCCCCATTATAAGTCAATGGGGGAAAAATCAACTCCCTGTTTTTACCACTAAAACGGGTCGGAATGGCCCCATATACCATACATGACTTCACATACGATCAACCTTCACTACCTTGAGGTCTGTTTTGCTGTTGGGCAGCTGTAAGGTCATGTGACGTCATCAAAGGTCACCAAAGGTTTTTTGCCAATAACTCCTTACAGGAACAAGATACAGCCGCGCGGATGGTCTCATTGTGTTCAGCTCGTCAAGACGCATCGAATGATATACATGATGACCTCGAGGTCACGTGACCTGAGGTCAACCTTTGACCTTGACCTTTCGAGGTCAACATATATACCATTCGATGTGGATTGACGAGAGGATCACGATGATGCCCTTAGTTTGTTCCTATCTTGACTACTTCGAAAGTTATTCGAGAAAAACCCTCTCCATATCTAGCGCCGCCATTTTGACTTTTTCGACCCCTGTGACGTCATCTTTGACCTGACCTGAAAATGACCTTAGTAAAAATTGTAGACCTTGTCCGTGCGTATCCGATGCCGTTTACCGCTTGTCGCTATCTTGCTTCGTTCTCGAGATCTCAGGGGGGGGGGCGGTCATCCGCCCCCCCCCCCCCGTCGGTACTAAGTTGGCGCAGACCCCCGTCGGTGCGCGGGTTAAAAACACTGCTGTTTATGAGAATTGCGAATGGAATGGGGAGCTGTTATCTACCCAGTTCCGGGATTTGAAAATTTTCCATTCTAAGTTAATGGTTGCTACAAGTTTGCCTCCTTTCATGCTTTGACTGAACGTCATTGTCGATATATGTAGATACGTAAGTCGTAGGCATGCCTTATACAATATGCACACAGTCGTACAGCACAAATGTTTTATTGCATCGAGATCGCTACAGCTCAGTACAGCCAGTGAGAACGGTCACGACTCACACAAATGTGACAAATTGCTCACGTGTAAAGCATTTAGGCATGTTTGTTCAGCTCCAAAGGCGGCCAGCCTAGCAATATTCCTGATGCATCTGTTTGGCACTTTGCTAAGAATCTGACAAGCATGTGGGCAATTAGCTTTGAAATTATATTTCTAGGATGCCTAAAAGACTAACACACTTTGCAGTCAGGCTCTCAATCATAATAATTCCGTGAGTCATAATCAAACATGGGGATTTTAATACCCGAGTAGGGGATATCAAGCAACACCAAAGGGAACGCGAATGCCACTTCACCGAAAAAGGGCAGACTCTCGCTTTCTTCCTCTGTCGTTTCTTCCCCCGCTTCTTCTCCGAAGGCCTGATACTGGAAGAATCCGTCTTTTGTTTGGTGTCCGGGGTGACTGTAGAATCCTGTCTCGAACGACGAGGCTTGTCGCCGGCTGCGGTGACCTCTGGGATGTGTCCGACCTCCAGCTGAGGGTCAAGGTCAGCATAGGTCATTATCAGGGTCAGGAGACCGTAGACTGATGGAAGCTATATCGACGTAATCTGCAAATCCATCCAACGTTAATTATTGATCATTTCGATCAAATTGCTCACGTGCATTAAAGTACCTACCTAAAACACTTGTTTGGCTGGAATGTTTTTTTTTGTGTACGCTGCTCTTTATATTTATCTAAGTTTCTTTTCTTTCTTTCTTTTTTAGAAAACTGGATGCCTATTTGTTCTCCGTATGTCAATGAGATATTGGCTACACTTAGTTCTTCTAATAATGAAAATAATTTTAGCGACATAAAATATTGCTCATTCCAATAAAGCAATTAATGTGTAGGTAATGTTTTGCAATTTTACTCTAAATTCGGAAGTTCTCTAATTTTTCTGCGGCACCTCGATAGCCGAAAGGGCAAACAGTCTGTAAGGTGTTTATAGCGACAATGGCCCAATTGTTCTCCGCTAAACATACAGGGCTCTTTTGCAGTCGTAAAATTCCCGTTTCGGGACAGCGTACAGTTGAAGTCGGTGTTCCGTCGGCCGTTAACAAAACAATAGAACGCGTCCAAACAATTATGGTGTTGAATACACGTCGTTAAATGTGGAACGTCTGCCTCCGATCTTGTGAGTGTTTGGTTTATAAATACGGCAGTAAATGTTACGAGGATGAATAAGGCTCGCATACTGCAATGCACAATGCAATTGCACACAAACCGAATAGAAATCCTCCGATTTACTTTTCTTACTCCATCGATCTGTCCATTCGAAATCACGGTTAAAATGGCTTTATACGATTCAATAAGCATACCAATAGGCATCTAAACGTTCGTTTATCAATTAATGCAGCAAAACCCCGCATTTGCCACATTGTTCCTTGCAAAATATATCATTAACTTTCCATATTAACTCCATCCCCCGTCTGCATTAAACTCACGTCCCCCGTTGAACGCCACGGCGGAGAACAGCTCCACAAGCTGCTGCCACGGGTCCTCCCCTCCCGCCGTACCGCCGTGCCGTTCGTCCGCCGTACCGCCGCCGTACAGATAGTCGTACAGGTGGGAGCCGTTAGCGAACCGTGTCGCGGCCGGCGGTGTCAATGGGGAAGCTACCGGCCAAACGGCCACCGCCTGGGTAAGAGAGGAGGTAGGTGAGCACTGAGCACAGTGAAGGAAGTTATATGTTAAAAAAAGAATAAGATTTACGAAGGCATATATATTCAAGCGTTAAATGCATATTTTAATGTCTATGGCGATTACGAAGCTAATTATGTACGCAGGTTTATGCTTTATATTTAATTGTATACGATGCATACATATGTACACCCGTACACCGGTGAAGTTAACTTTCGCATAATTAAATTCTCATTTTTTGATGTTTCGAACCACCGAAGTGCCAAAACACATGTTGCATCGATATCTAACATTATCGTAACAACGACGATCTAATAAGTTTTTTTTTTCATCAGTGGACACAAGATCATATAACTATGAATATGAACTAGGTACCTATAGGTATAAAGTGAAAATGCGTAATAATTGTACGCAAACTACAATAAAAACATAATTCTTGCAATACGATTTGTAATTTTGTACACAATGAAACAAAAACTTCGGTTAGGTGACTTACCATCAGAATGCAGACCAAGGAGCACTTCAGTGTCACGTCCATCGCTGTTCACCGTCCAGCCCTGTCTGGTCCGTACCTGGGTGGCCTGAGACTCCTCCAGTCGTCTGTTTTCGGCTCCTATTTCGGACGGATTAACCCCGTTTCCGGGTGGTCGAATACCGAGCAGGGGTAGATCTGCAGACAGGGTGGGCGAGGGAGGGTCAAACGCGGAATAGATGACTGGGTGAGATAGCATGGGAGCTCGTTATTTATGCGTCTTTAAAGTCGACTCATGCGTGCCTTCCTGTTGTACCAGTACCGTCTGTGTCCGAAGTGTTGGCAAGTAGGTAGTGTTTTCAAGAGCTTTTCCTTTTTACTTTTTTCGACTGGTTCCATTATTAGTTATTACACTACTGAACTTACCAATAGCTTCGATTTGATTATTCGTTAGTTGACTATAGCCTCCGCATTATGACCGTGTGACCTGGATGTAACCTGGATGTGACCTTGGTGTGACCTGGGTGTGTCCTGGATGAGGCTGAGGATGAGTGACCTCTCCCCGGGCCATTGAAACACTCCCGTCTCGACAGGGGAGGCTCACCCAGTAAACGCGCGCCAACAGGTGGTCGACCCAGTCCGATGCATCAAATGGCAGTCTCTTTCTTATCAATAATACCCTCGCTCCACGATCTCATCAATCCTAAGCATGCCAGTAATTACGCTGTCATGAATTTTAACCATTTATGACATACCTGATACCTGATACCTGATATTTGGGGATCATTGAAGGCACTAGGATTGCCCGGTGGATCCGTCGTAGAGAGCTCGGGTAGCATTAACAGTCTTATCTATTGTGGAGCTATGTTGCATGTTCGATGCATGTTCAGCATATCTATGCTGAACATGCATCGTTCTGCCTCCAAGCGCTTACTGCAGGTCACATCCTGCCTGCCCGCTTAAACGGCGGTTGTTGGAATCGCCACTCGGACGTACCTAAATATATTTGTATTTTTATCCCGCAGCCGCTCGTAAATTGGGTTCCGGTGTAACAACACCAGCGTCCAGCATAGCACCAACATAGAGCACAGGGCTATCGGATGATGAGAGGCAAAACATTGGTCTGAGTCACCTCATGTGCCGTCGCCGTTTATTCTGTCCCAAGGGACATCCGATTACTGAGCTGCGCTGAGGGTCACCCAGGAGGGAGTTCCCCCAGTTCGATCCCGGCATGTCACATGACCGTCCATGGCATCCAACCCGGGGGCGCAGCATGAGGTGGAAGGAATGGCCAAGATTATTGTAAATACAGAGGCTGCTAACTTTGGAATTTACTGTCTGAGCATCAGAATGAGGCGTTAGGTTCGATTCCGGTGCATACCTGATACCTACCAATCCCGTGCAATAGAGAACAAGTAGTGTGGCTAATAAGTCCTTGCATGGTGCTGCCACCTACAAAAGATACCTGAATCTGTCTACTTCGTAGTGCTGCCATCTGTAAAGTGCATGTGTCCTAGCCAGTACTAGCTCTCTCAATGCTCGCTAGATGGCAGAATATGCATGATTGATCAATAACTTGCCTTATTTCCGACCAGTCAATTAATAATTTCAGTTTAATATTGGTAAAACATGTGAGAATAAACGCTAAGGCTTGTACTCTGAGGATTAAAATACAGCATGAATCTGGCAGAGCCCCTTTTATTTTATAGCCTGAGAACGCCACTGTCAAAAATCAGCTGACCGCACTCCACAGTCAGCTGTTGCTGCCAGCTTTGCGCTTTTGTTGACATTCTCGTCAGTCGTGTTTCTCTCTTGGGACGTGGAAGGTCCGCGCTCGCGTGTCGCGTTTGGGAACGGGGCGTAGGAAGGGAGGGTGTCTTAGTCAGACTAAGGGATTGTCACAGTCTTGATGCTGGTTTTAGTGGTGTCTATAGCTTTGTAGCTGCTAAGAAAGACAGGTAAATGGAGCATTTGCGGTGTTATCTCAATCTCGATGTTTAGTTCATGGGTCATTGGGTGATAGGCTTAGAGTGACTTTTAATGACCAACAATATCTTACACCATAATCTATTGTTATGTGTGATAAGTGGTGCTCGAATTTTCCAGGGCTTTTGCTTCAGCTTTTTTTTCAGCCATGTCAATATTGGTCTTTGACAAAACCTTTGTCAATTTGTATCAACAATGTGAATGTCAGTGGCGTTTTTCAAGCCCCCTATGCATTGTTGTGTGTTCCGAAATAAGGCTTGACATATTGTTCTCCTATTGCAGGTGATGGGCTCAGTGTAGCTGAACTGAACATAGCTGCTGCTGTGCTCAGCCAATATGTCTGTCCTTCAGAAGAAACATCCCCTGAAGACCCTGAACGGCAATCGGCTGCTGGCGGCCTATGGAAGCCTGTCACTACGCCCCAACAATGGTCAGTCAATGCTCTTATCAGCTAGCTGTCTATCCTCTTCTCTAGAGTATTCCCTCTAAGTCAATCTGACATTCAATCATGCCTACACATTATCAGCTCAACAATTTGTCAGGAGCTGCCCAGTAGTTCACACCTCTTTGGGCTTTGCTCTCTTTGTGCAATGGCTTTCTGTTGAAATTTGTTGGCTTGCTGATTTCATACTCCATCTAGGTTCCACTGGACTGCCTGTCCAGACCGTCCATTCGGCAGTGGGCCCACGGACATGTTTCGTCACGTAACCAAGACACCGTGAATGGGCACCGTGCCCGCTAATGGCTCATTACGTGGCCATTGTTCTCCATTTCTGTGACGTTTTTCTCGGACAGCTGACGGATTGAACTGATTGTGGTCAGAGTAGGTGGACCATGCTCTGTGGAGCGAGTCAAAACGGCCACCGCGCCGTGAGGTTTCTGCTCGAATTAGTTCCGAATTGGGCCAACCGAACGCAACAATATACCATCATTGTTTTAGGGCCCTGCCGGCTGCCGGCTTGTGGTCCCTCTGTAAAACTTTGTGTGCAGGCTGCGACTGTGACAGGGCATGGCTGTGGGCTGAGGGCTTTGCTTTCAGCGGAGCCTAGCCGCCGAAATCGGACCGTTTGACCACAAACCGCAGTGGGCGTCTGCAGCCCGCAGGGGGCGGAGCGGTAGCTGCCCCTGGTCCGCCTCCGTGAGGGAATCGCACGCAAAGTTCGATACACTTCTCAGCTGATCCACGTAGATAACAGAGCCCGGCTGATTGGGGCACCTGTTTCGAGGCTAGATGTGTAGCAGTTTCCTCTAATGTTCGTCGAATAATATTGCCGTCGACGCGCATCTAAACCCCACGGGCTGGCCATCGACATTCGGCATGCTGCATGTTTAGGGTGGATAGCAGAACCAGACGTTTGATGCTGAGCTATCATTCATAACTCACCCATCGTCGTCACATCCGTACCGCTCCTCGCCGTGACGTGATATCGTGACGTGACGGTCGTTTTGTGATAGTCGGTCTGTGACGGTCGTTTTGTGATAGTCGGTCTGTGACGATCGTTTTGTACTGTCGCGATGACTTTTGCGAACAGCTGGAACTGACGGCGCGACATAGGACCACGTGGTGCTGACGTGGCGCTGGTAGGGGTTGTCCCTGCAGGTGGCGGATGGAAGGGGACGGAGGGGTGGGCGGGTGTCACATGATGACATCCAGAGCCCCCGTGTCATGTGTCAGATGGTGACACCCGTCAGGGAAAGGGTGCCGCTGAACTGGTGTGACATGAGGGTCAGAGGATGAACCCTGTAACCCCTCCCCCGGAATGTCGCAGACCCGAGTAACCCAATCGTCCTGTGTCAGTTGACACCACGTCTCGGAGCCGCGTCCGGTTCAAACGCTCTCTCCGGCGTCGTCAGTTGAGCGTCAAGTCAGCCTTTTCGTGAGTTCACCGTTCGATCGATTATCTGGTCACGAGCACGGACCACGTGATCAAACCCTTGTGTCGGCTTCACGTTCAGTCCGCCGTTTGCCGTTCCCGGGAATTGTCGTGATTCACGTCTGGCCCGGTCTGGCAGGAACTGGCCGGGCGCCGTGGCTGGCTGGACCGTCCCACCGGGCGCCGCTCGCAGCACGGAGCGGGTCGGTGGATGGCCGACTTTGGGCGCTGCGCGTCCGAGCGGCGTGTCTCCCCGGTGAATCACTGTCCGTGTTTTTGTGCCGGGACGTGGCGGCAGGATTGGTCACTGGTCAGCGGGGACGGCGAGACAGAAAAGTATGTATCTTACAGAGGAGAGTTTTTCTTGTTATTTTAGTTGTTTGTGATTAAAGTAACACAATCTGGCCTTATAAGTGGATTTTGGATGAGTTCCGGCTATTGGGTTCTTGGAGATTTCCGGCTATTTTTTGTTGAATGCAGACTTTGCGACCAGTATAATCCGTCAATGTGATAAGTGCGGACGGGTTTCATCCCGTCTGAGCCAATCTTACCGTCAAGGTCAGCAGATAAACACACTTCCCACACCCTGTTCGTGATGTCGGGACCGGCTGGGCAGCTCACACTCTGATCCAAAACAACGGCGGAGTGTGATCCGTATCAGCTATCCCACGAAACTGGTGGGAAAAGCTGGATGCAGATGACATCAGAGACCTATCCTTCGGAGACAATCCGATCCTGCAGTTGTTTGAAAATGACGTCATGATATTATGGCGTCATGCTGCTAATGCACGTTTCGATCACTTTGTTTTCATTTCGTCACCATAAGGTCTAGAGACCAAACACACTGGCTTATCACACGCTCCGCTGTGGTGTTGTGTCCCGTCGGGCGATGGTCCTTATCGCTGCGGGCACAGGGCAGCAAGGACGGCCTTGTTGTGTTCAGGCGACCCTTGAACCTTACGCCATAGCTGTTGGCAATGGTGGTGAACGACGATAGACTGCGATAAATGCATACGTCTGAGCATATACAGCAGAGCTGGGCGGTGACCTTTCAGGCTGGGTTTTTCTCTCCATTGTGAACCATGCCAATCACTGCAGGTTTTTTTGCCGCCCCCTTCGCCCATCCCCGCTCCGACAGCTTCCCGTCGACAGCTGACTGTACCAACATGGCTTCCTCCCTCCGGCCCCGCTACCTCTCGACCCGTGTCTAACAGACCCGTGGCCTCTCGAACCCACCCTTGTCCTCTCCGGACCTCTCGACCCGCGTCGTTCCATACCACGTGTAGTGTATCTTCCTAGTCGTGTCCATCCTTATCCGTCCTTATCTGGACGCAGGATACCCCGGCACGACCCAGCCTTGACGGCATGCTGGACTGTGCCCGCGGGCCGGGAGGCGCATAGCAGGCTTAGAGAGCCGCCAGTCGCCCAAGGCTGCTCCTATTGTATTTACCGGCCGGATGGGAGTGATGTGTGGCTGTCCCGGCCCAGCTCTGCCAGGACTGCCGCGCTGTGATTTGGTCCGCTGTGCTTTGGTCCGCTGTGATTGACCAAGGTCAAGGTTTCCGTTGATAGTTGGTTTGTATTTTGATTTGTAAATCACCATCTGATTCGCACAGAAGGAAACAAATCATTAGCCTTCACAGATGGGAGATCTCCATCTTCTCATAGTTAGCAAGTCTTCCGGGTGATTTTGGTTACCCGGCCATTTGTGGTAGAGCCGTGCTACGTAACTGACGCTTAACCTTCCACGGCGGAACACCGCCAGCCAGGCGGAGACTGCGCAGTGGCGACAGCCCGGATCGTGCCAATGCACTTCATGCTTCAGAACATGTGACAGACTTGGTGTTCACTGAAGCAGCCTGCTTGCATGATTGCAGTGCCGTCTGGAACAATGCTGAGGTAACGTTTCCTCACGATGTTGAAAACAGACCGAACTCTCTCTTGAAAGTTTCTTGGAGTTTAGAGTTTGTTCCCGTTTTAGTCGTGCTTCATCGGAGGATTACATCAGAGTGCAATCATCCGCATTGTTGGCTCATTTCAATGGCCGCAAACACAGAAGCTATTTGGAAAAGCTTACCTCATCGTGAGTGTGGGCTGTTCGTGGGTATTACTGAACTCCGGAGAAAGATGACTAGAACTTAGAAGCCACTGAGGATGCCAGATATGTTTAAATGGAACATCCTTGAACCCCGGGGGTCTTTGAGGGAATCTTGTATGTATTCCTGCCTGCCCTATGAGGTGTCCAATATTATGACCCTGAACTGGCCAAGTCAGCCGCTGACGGTGGAAGGCCGTCATACCACGCCCCGGGGTGACCGCCCCCGCCGCTGTGGCGGGCTCGTGGCGTCGCCAGCATTGATCAGCCCCGCCGGCCGGGAGGGGTGTCGTTACTGACACGTGTCACCCTCAGACCACCGTGTGACGTCACCAGCAGGGGTCGTGACGTCAGCTGGGGGTGCGAGGAACGGACTGACCACTGACCGCGCCCATGACGTATCACTGACGGCACTGACCGCTCCCTGGCCCCTTCTTCAGCTGTTTCAAAACAATATCTAAAACAACCGTCTACCGGACTATCGGTCATTTTCCGCTATCTGCCATCTCCTGTGTGACCCAGAGTGCTCTCGGATGGAACCTCTCGAGCTGCAGAGCGGTTTCGGAGAGAGGACCGAGTATGACAATCTCTACGGTAGGTACCGTGAGCTATTTCTCTACCTCCTTGCATCACATGCCCCTCGTGGCCAGTGCTCGTCACTGTTTGGAAGTATCGACCCGACCACTCCCTTTCCTTCCGGCAATGCGCTGCACTGTTTGGACAAAGCCGACAAATGAATTCTCTGCACGGCTCCGTCGAGAATCAATGCCAGCGGCTATTTTCGCTGACTGGCCGCGATTTAGCGTGCTGTGTCGATAATCGATCATGGTTTTGACGCCAAGGTGGCCATGGGAGTAGTCATTTTGGGTTTTATGACGGCTGCTAAGGGTGGGATCTTATGATGCCTACCATCAGGCAGGGAAGCGCTGTCTTTGGATGACTGAACCGGAGCGTCACCATATGGAGCCGTGGTGACGGCTGGGAACAAACACCAGCTCGTGCGTGACACTCCTTTGTTTGATGTGGGTGGACTCGAATGCCAGTGTCGTGTCGATCTCAATTCTACGCGCTCCGTCCGTCCGGCCGCCTTTTGGAACCTCTGGGGATGTTTTATTCATCAAATATCTACCTCTCTTCAGATTATAACCGTACCGGCGCATAATGAGATCCATTCCAATAATGAACGCCTTAATAACGCACTTGACCCGGTACCGCTTGGCCTAAGGTCCGGCGGCGCCTTATATAAGGATCGCCAGGGTAATGCCTTATAAAACCCTCACGGAAGTGTATGATGATCAGAGTGAGTCTTTGTCTGATTTGACGACGCCAATTTTGCCTCATTTGGTGTTCACAGAGTAGTGCGTTATATAATAAATCTCAATTTTGCGACCGTCTCGTGTTACCGAAATAAGTTACTTTGTAGACTAAGCTTGATTCCTTTGGAGCAGGAATCGTTTTTCT